GTCCAAGAGGCTCTTAACTCCAATTAATCACCAAAACAATGGAAGTGGCACTGTGATCAAGTGATAGAACACTAGCCTTGAGGTCTGAGAAGGTGGCTTAGTGGTAGAGTGCTTGCCTTGCATGCATGAGGCCCTGGGTTCGATTCCTCAGCACCACATAAGCAGAAAAAGCCAGAAGTGGGACTGAGGCTCAAGTGGTAGAGCACTAGTCTACAGCTGAAGAGCTGAGGGACAGCACCCAGTCCCAGAGTTCAGGCCTCACGACCGACAAAAAAAGAAAGAAAAGAAAAAAAAAATAGAGAGTTGGAGGCCAAAGTGGGATACATAGCGTAAGATCTGGTCTCAAATAAAAGGGGGCTGAAAATGTGGCTTAGTGGTAGAGTGCTTGCCTAGCATGCATGAAGCTCTGGGTTCAATTCCTCTGTACAATATAAACAGAAAAGGCCAGACATGGCACTGTGGCTCAAGTGGTAGAGTATTGGCTTTGAGAAAAAGAAGCTCAGGGACAATGCCCAGGTCCTGAGTTTAAGCCCCAGGACTGGCACAAAAAAAAAGATAAGTTTTAGGCCTTCTGGCTATTCCTGGGCAGCCAATAATTATGTTGCAGTCAGCTGTCAGATTTCCTGGGTTTTTTAATAGCAGCTCTGGGCCTGGTGCTAATGGTTTATATCTGTAATCCTAGCTGCTCAGGAGGCTGAGGTTCAGAGGCAGCATGGGCGGACAGATTCACTTTTTTGGCTCATGACTGGCTCTCTACCACTTGAGCCCACAGCTCCACTTCTGGCTTTTTGGTGGTTAATTGAAGGGATAAGAATCTCACAGACCTTCCTGCCCAGCAGAGATAATGCCAGGACTCAGATAGGGCTAGTGCTTTGGCCTGAGTTACTCAGCTAGGATGTGGACCTGGGATGTGGCTTGGGATTTCCTGGCATAAACTCCCTTTTGTGTACTCTGCTGTAGGGTCTTTAAGTACTGCTTAGCTTAGCCACAGTTTAGCTACTAGCCAGTGGCTGACTTTTTGTGGTTTTTGTTGTCGCCTACCATGCCTAATATGTCTTGTGCCTGAGGGCCCACAGAAGATGCTATCCCCCATGTGCAGCTCTTGGGGGTCAGGATCAGCCCTGAGTGCCTTCCTCATGCCACTCACAGGTGACATACCAGCTGAAGATCTTGACCACCGCTCTGTTCTCCGTGCTCATGCTGAATCGCAGCCTCTCGAGGCTGCAGTGGGCCTCCCTGCTGCTTCTCTTCACTGGTGTCGCCATTGTCCAGGCACAGCAAGCTGGTGGGGGCGGCCCACGGCCACTGGATCAGAACCCTGGAGCAGGCCTAGCAGCTGTTGTGGCCTCCTGTCTCTCCTCGGGCTTTGCAGGTGTTTACTTTGAGAAGATCCTCAAAGGCAGCTCAGGTTCTGTGTGGCTGCGCAACCTGCAGCTGGGCCTCTTCGGCACAGCCCTAGGCCTAGTTGGGCTCTGGTGGGCTGAGGGCACTGCTGTGGCTCACCGCGGCTTCTTCTTTGGGTACACACCTGCAGTCTGGGGTGTGGTACTAAATCAAGCCTTTGGTGGGTTGCTGGTGGCTGTTGTTGTCAAGTATGCTGACAACATCCTCAAGGGCTTTGCCACCTCCCTTTCTATTGTGCTGTCCACTGTTGCCTCCATTCGCCTCTTTGGCTTCCACCTGGACCCATTATTTGCTCTTGGCGCTGGGCTCGTCATTGGTGCCGTCTACCTCTACAGCCTTCCCCGAGGTGCAGTCAAAGCCATAGCTTCCGCTTCCACCTCTGCTACCATCCCTGGGCCCTCCATTCACCAGCAGCCTCCAGGGCAGCCACCACCACCACAGCTATCTTCACATCGAGGGGACCTCATCACGGAGCCCTTTCTGCCAAAGTCAGTGCTGGTGAAGTGAGGGCTGGTGGCGGTTGGGGGAGACAGGGAGGCGGGGGACTAGGGTGGAGGGTGTTGGGCATCTGCAGGACCCAAGTTGTCGCCAAGGCCTTGATCCTCTTGGGTTGGCAGATGGTCTATTTCTCCCAGGTCACTGAGACTTGTGGAGGGGCATGGAACTAGGGCCAGATGTCACATGAATCCTTCCTGGTACACTGGCTCCCTTCCCCGAAGGGGGTTTTTAGAGCTGCTTTCTCTGCCCCAGGCTAACCTCTTTGGGGACAGGGTTTTGGGTATTGCCATTCAAGGCCTTGGTTTTGTCTGCCCCATCACCCTCTGCTGAAGGTGTCCTGTCTCTTATCTCAGACAGTCCATCATGAAGCCCGCCATCCCTCTACTTTTGTAAGGGCAGACTGGACAAAAGTCAGAAGTCCTGCAGCTCTTCAATAATGATTAATGCCTACATGCAGGGCTCTGTTTCCCATTGTCTGAGGCCTTTTCTCCTCCCTCACCACCCTGGATCATGACAGCAGCTTGGTCTCATGTGACCTTGGGCAGCTTCCCTGGCACTGAGACCTTTGAAGATGTCCTGTTGCAAGGGTCCAGGGTGAGGAAGAGGCACAAGCTCTGAAAGTTGTGCTTCAGCCCATTTGAAGAAGGATGTGGTAGGGGCTGGGTTTTTTTTTAGTGGTTTGAGGGTTCCTAGTATTAAGCAGATCATTAATGATCCAGAATTTGGGAGAGCAGGGAGGAGAGTCCTGGAAGTGGCTTCAGTTTCATTGAACTGAAAACACTGGCACTTGTCAGCTGCAGGGCTCTTTTTGGAGCTATTCAGAGAGAGAAATAAAGCTGCCAGTCCTGCTCTTGCTACCATATTGGCTTTAGGAGGCACCCTTACTTCATGGTGGGGGAGGTAGTCTCAGAAGTGAATCATGGAACCTGTACCCTGCACTCCCCAAAGCTTATTAACCCCTTAACTATCCCAGGGGTGTGTGTGTGTGTGTGTACGTGTGCGCACGCGCGCGCATGCATGTGTGCCCACCCGAATGTGTGTACGTGAGTGAGTGTGTGTGTGCGCGCGCGCGTGCACACACGCACGTGCGTGTGTGAGAAAGCTGCTTAGGCTGTCTTTGCTATATGTAAATAGGGCCATTGGATCTTTATTTTTGATTAATTTGTTCTGATTTTTTTGGGTTTGTTTTCTAAGGAACTGTAATGAACAAATGTCAGGATTACCCAATGCCAAATAAAGATGTTGTATTTATTTAGTCCATGTGTAGCTTTCTGACCCAAGGGCCCATTCTCCTTACATAGACACCATTACTAACCCCAGGACTGACAACCAGCCTTACTACCACAGCCCTCGCTTGCTCAGAAAAATCCACCTTCCAGCACATCCCAGCTTTCTATGTTTCTCTTTCCTTCCCATTTCCACCACAGGTTGCTCACCAAGGTGAAGGGTTCGTAGCCACCGGGATTGAAGACGTTGGCCTGGCCTCACTCTCCCTTCTTGCCCCCCGGCTCAGCTGGGAAACAAACTCTGATCAGTATTAGGGGTACTGCCCCCATGCAGGGTTATCACGACTAAGCTCTCTGTTAATGACCCATTTCAGTTACTGCTGCCCTCAATAGTATTTTTAGGTGAATTTCTGCAAATAAAATTTGTGTTTTTGCATCTTGCCAGCTTGGGTTGGAAGACCTGGAAAGAGTAAAAGGAAGCAGTCAAGCTTTGTGGATGTGATCCACAGAAAAGAATTTATTGAATGAAGCTCAGTGGTGGTAGAGATTTAGTTAGCACACACAGAGGCCCTGGGTTCAATCCCCAGTACCACCACAAGAAAAAAAAAAGGAAAGAAAGAAGGAAAACTGCCAGGGCCGTGGAGAGCAAAGCTTCAATCCTGCTGTTTGGTTCGGGAGGCCTCAGCATTGGCCCGGAGCACAGCTCCTGGGGATGGGTATGGACGCTGCTGGAAGAGGGGCCCAGCTGCTGTTGTATCAGCTCCTGTCTTGGCCTCGTTCCGCTTGGGGAGTCCTGTTGACCATGTACCCCTGGGGATGACAGAGAGTGGGGAGGGGCAGGAAGAAGGGTGAGATGAACACACACAGACATCCTTCCCCCACCCCAACTGACCTAGAATGAAAAATGGAGGAAGGAGAGACTAGGAAGATGGTGTGCACAGTTGCCATGGGAATCATGAGGTTGTCATCTTACCGGGGTGCATCTGAATACGAGCTGGGGTCCATAGGGTCTAACTCTTCATCCTTTCGGCTGGTCACTATAGAAGTAAATGGCTACATAAGTTCTTCACTCAAGACACAAAAGGCTCCTGATCAATGTGCCCCTCATCCCAGGAAGAAATGGAGCCCACACTTCTATGAATAGCTTTCTGTGGGAGCCCAGGTCCAGGGACAGCCCAGGAGGGGCTTCCTTATACAAGTACATCCTGACACCTTGCTTGCCTTAACCTGAGTCCCTGTCTCTTCTCTTACCCTTTTTGTTTTTGGGGTAGGGAGCCAGCTCCTCCCGTCGATGGTGACGACGTTCTTTGCCCTCTTCCCGGTCTGCCTTGTCATACCCACGGTCCCGGTCCCGTTCCCGTTCCCGTTCCCGTTCCCGCTCTCTTTCTCTCTCCACTTTGTCATAGTTACGCTCTCGCTCTCTATCAGATTTTTCATGATTCCGCTCTGACTTCTCAACTCTGTCTGGCTTCTCATGATTCCTATCCGGCTTCTCATGGTTCCTATCCGGCTTTTCATGGTTCCGGTCCACCTTCTCTTCAGCATCTAGGGGGACATAGAAGTTCTGAAGTAGCTGGGCACCGATGGGTAGCTCAGACCTGTAATCCATTTTAGCTACTCAGGAGGTTTGAGATCTGTGGATCACAGTTCAAAGCCAGCCTGGGCAGGAAAGTCTGAGACTCATCTCCAATGAAACACTCAAGAAAAAAGCCAGAAATGGAGCTGGGGAAAGCACCAAGGTGTGTATGTGTGTGCCAGTCCTGGGGCTTGAACTCAGGGCCTGGGTACTGTCCCTGAGCTTCTCTTTGCTCAAGGCTAGCACTCTGCCACTTGAACCACAGCATCATTTCTGGCCTTTTCTGTTTATGTGGTACAGAGGAATTGAACCCCAGGCTGTATGCATGCTAGACAAGCACTCTACCACTGAGCCACATTCCCAGCCACACACACTTTTAAGTAACTTCCTCCTCCCACCCATCCCCAGCAGCCCATGCTTTCAAAAGCCTCAATTGCTTAGGGCTGAGCCTGCCTGGTTTCATCTGCCCCTTGCTCCTCCACTCATTTCCGTGGCCCCTCTCTGAGAACTGCTAGAATTGCCCAAAATCACCCAAAGTGTTATCTGCCAACTCACCTGCATTATTATTCTTAGGCTTCTTGACAGATTTGGTAACGATGGAGTTGGGGTCATGGGGAGAGAGCCAAGATACAAGGTCTGTGTCTGCATTCCAATAGTAAGGGAGCCCACTGTGGGGCATGGGAAGGAAAGAATATTAGCACAGATGTCCTTCCATTGGATCAACCATTGTGTCCCCGTCTGTACCTTAGATCTCTTCCTCTCTGTCACCCATATACCCCACAGCCAGAGACAACAAAGGGAAAGGGCAATATCAGAAGTCAGCTGTCCCCCTTCAGGAACCTAGGCTCACCAAGAAGGGTCGAACACCTTGTACCAACTTGGTGGCAGACTTTCTAATCGGGTGGCCTCATAGTCCACAGGATCATCATCGTAGTCCTCCGCAATGATCTCTTCCTCGGGCTCTGGCAGAACAAGGAGGCAAACAATTCAGGACTAGTAGTACTCATCCTAGAGTTGGAGCCTGGAGAGAGATATCTATAGACACATCTGTCTCCACAAGCTGCATGTAGAAGATACAAGTGTAGTATGTATATATACTATGTGTATATGTATGCATACACATAGTTACACATACAAATGTGTGTATGCTAGGAAATGTATTTCTCACATTCCAAATTCATCTACTTTAGGAGACTGACCAGAAAATTTACCTAGATCTTTTGTTTCTAGGCTAAGGTAGTAAGTTCATACAGTTACATAAACCTATCTGGTTTCAGAACTGATAAGGATTCATCAAAAACATTTACCTAGCCAGCTGTTAGTGGCTCATGCCTGTAATTGTAATCCTAGCTACTTGAGAGGCTGAGATCTGAGGATCCACATTCAAAGCCAGCCTGGACAACACTTCTGGCTTTTTTTTTTTCAGTCGTAGGGCCTAAACTCTGGGCCTGGGTGCTGTCCCTCAGCTCTTCAGCTCAAGGCTAGTGCTCTATCAATTGAGCCACAGCGCCACTTCTGGCTTTTTCTGCTTATGTGGTGCTGAGGAATCAAACCCAGGGCCTCAGGCTGGAAAGGTGGCTCAGTAGTAGAGTGCTTGCCCTGCATGCATGAGGCCCTGGGTTCAATTCCTCAGCACCACATAAGCAAAAAAAGCAGGAAGTAGCACTGTGGCTCAAGTGGTAGGGCACTCACCTTGAGCTGAAGAGCTGAGGGACAGTGCTCAGGCCCAGAGTTCAAGCCCCATGACCCACACACACCAAAAAAAGTCTCATGGACTTTTGGCCTGGGATGAAGCCACTTCTTTGGATTGAGTCATTATTTGAGATTTTTTTGTCTCTTTGTTTTGCCAGGGACCTGAACTAAGGGCCTAGGCGCTGTCCCTGAACTTTTGCTCAAGGCTAGCACTCTACCACTTGAGCTATAGTGCCACTTCCTGCTTTTTCTGTTTATGTGGTACTAAGGAACTAAGGAATTGAACCTAGGGCTTCAAGCATGCTAGGCAAGCACTCTACCACTAAAGCCACATTCCCAGCCGAGGTTTGTGGGGTTTTTTTTCATTAGTGGGGTTTGAAGTCTTACCCCTATGCAGATGCTCTACCACTTGAACCATGCCCCTAACTTTTTGCTTTGGTTATTTTTTTGAAAAGGGGCTCACATTTATGTCCCAAATGACCTGGACCATAATCCTCCAATGTCCACTTTCTGAATAAGCTGGGATTACTGACATGAATCATTGTGTTCAGCTTTATTCATGGGTTGAACTCATCATCAGGTATCAGTATTGCTAAGGATGAAGTATCTATCCTGCAACCACTCAACATACAATACAGTTTACAATACAGTCCAAATGGAAGTGGAGATGTGGCTCAAGTGGTAGATAGCAGGAAGTCATATTAACAATGAGATGTCAGCCAGGCCATGCTAGGTGTCAAGTGTCAGTATCACCAAAAAAGTGCCTGTCAAAACTGGCATGTCGGGGTTGGAGGTATGGTTCAGATCGAAAAGCACCAGCTAATGAGTGAGAGGAAATGTCAGATACAAAGCTCGAGTCCTGGTTTGGGGGAAGGGTGGGACTAGCATGTGGTAGACTCATCTGTTCTTAGCTTCTCACCCGGTTCCAGATGTTTGAGGATGCCTCTCTTGGCTAATCGAGTCTGCAACGCAACAGGCAACGGCATAGCTGACAAACCTGGAGGTGACAGGACAGATTGACAAACAGCTCAGATGAAGATTCTAATCTGAATCTGGAGTCACGCACCTTCTAGTAGCAAGTATTCACCTGTTCGCCATTTACCGAACTACATTAGTTGCTAGCAGGGTGAACAGAACGAAGCTACGCAGAAGAGAGACTGCAGGAACAGCGACACTTACCACAGCTCACTAGGCCGGACACTCGGAAGTCAGTTCCTCAACCAGGCCCAAGCTCCAAGCTCCTCCCACCGCCGAAGAAACTACATGCAGCAACCTCCCCCAAAGCAAAAATGGGTTCACCCAACGTCTCCTAAATACTGCCGGACGGGAAGAACTAAGACGCTAGAATGGGGGAGGGAGGAATGTAGCAAAATCTCTACCTGCAAAAAGAAAGGGGAAAAAAAGAATGCACTCACCCGTGCGTTATCAATGCCGTAGGTGCGGATAGCCGAAAGTTATCAGGTCTCTTGCCCTCAAAATTAGCAATTCCAACGGATTTTCTCCCCTCGCAGCACAAAATGAGCTTTACACTCCACAGCCAGGAGGTAACTGGGCGACATCAGGGCTGCAACGAACGTATGACGCTAACCTGTACAGCCAATAAGAGTGAACCTTTGGCCTTACGCGTAGCAAAGTGACCCAATCGTTCCCCTGGAAGAATGGAACGTTCGCGCGCTCGGGTGCGTTTACTGTAGAGGCGTGGTTCCCTTGAGTGTCCCGACTTGCCCGCCAGATACCAGCGCCATGGAGGAGTACGCTCGGGAGCCTTGGTACGACTTTGGGCATAGGCATCGGGACTGTTGCCGTGGTCCAGGGCCGGCTATGTGAGGCGGGAGGGGGAGGATTCCACCCCAGAATATCGTAATCGCAGGATTTGGGAGATCTAAGACCTCAACTACCTTCCGTTCCTGACCTAGCTCCTCCTACTCGGATTTTGTTAAAACGCGATTTGTTGTGCGTGGGAGAAGGTGTGAGGTACGACGAACCTACCTCAGGTTCTTTACGTCTCCTGATTTCGTTATTTCCTGATCCCTCTTAACGCAGACAACACGCTGGTGAAATTAATCACAGCGTTGTGGGGTGACATGGATCTTAAAACCCTCGGGGGTACCTAGGATGGGTTTTTCTCTGGTCGTTTTCTTGTGAATTCCAGGCAGATAGGGCTAGATGATCTTGTCGTGATCTTGAATTCTCCTCATGGTCTTCTTCGTTTTCCCCCCAGTTTTATATTTAAAGTGGGGTAAGGATTTAAAAGGCTTGAAAGGTTTAAAGAGGCTTGTGGACGTGCTCAGGGTTGTACAAGGGAGTGCCACTCTCTCCTGCTTTGAATGACAGTCACTAGCTAGTGAACCCTGAACACAAGCCAACTCTTTGGATGTAATCAATTCATTGAATTTTTGGTAGTAAGAAAACAATCGGCTGATACATGGGTTGGAATCAAGAATAATATCCACCATCATCCCCTTTTACCCCATTTATACATTTACAATCTTTTTGTGTGTAGGAGAGACCAAGTCTCACAATGTTTCCAAGGCTAGCCTTGGACTGAAACCCTTCTGTGGGATTACAGGGAGTGTACTACTACAACTGGCTTTCCTTTCTTGCTTTTATAAAAGAACTAAGATTGTTATTTTGAAGCATTTCATCCCACTTAGGAAGTTCCCATTCAGATGATTGTTTCTCTCAGTTGGAAAGAATCTTGGTGACAGGGCTTAGCTGGGAAAGGTCTCACATTAACCCTATGCTTCCTTTCTGATTGTATGCAGCCCATGGAGGATTGTGGATGACTGCGGAGGAGCCTTCACTATGGGTGTCATTGGTGGTGGAGTCTTCCAGGCAGTCAAGGGCTTTCGTAATGCCCCTGTTGTGAGTCTGAGCCTTCCCCTCTGGTGGTGTGGGAATCAATAGCCTTGACACTAAAAACTGCTTTAGAAACTGCTTGGAGCTGCCCTTCAACATGAACTTAACTCATTCTGATGCCTGTGTGCCAGGCCTGGCCTTTGGATCTGGGGTTTGGGGAAACTCAATAGTAGAACACGTGGTTAGTACATAAAGCCCTGGGTTCCATCCCCAGCACCAGGAAACAAAAACAAACAAAAAAACAGGCAGTACCAAATCCTAAATGTATATACAAAGGCAGATTTTTTTTTTACCTAGAGTTAGAGTCTGGGTAAGAAACCTAAGACACAGAAAAATGATTGAAGTTTAATTAACCAGAAGAGGAGAGCCTCAAAATGAAGTAAATCCTTTCCATTTAACACAATGAATTCTGCTTCTTTCTCTGACCATCCTTCCAGAAGATTTCACTAAATGTCCTAACATTTATTTATTTATTTATTTATTGTCCGGTCATGGGGCCTGAACTCTGGGCCTGGGCGCTGTCCCTCAGCTCTTCAGCTCAAGGCTAGTGCTCTACCACTTGAGTCACAGCGCCACTTCCGGCTTTTTTCTTTTTTTGCTTATGTGGTGCTGAGGAATCGAACCCAGGGCCTCAGGCATGCAAGGCAAGCACTCTATCACTGAGCCACCTTCCCAGCCCCCCTAACATTTATTTAGCTTATTTTGTCTAAATAATTTATTTGTGTGTGTGTGCATCAGCAGTGGGGCTTGAACTCAGCGCCTAAATGCTATCTCGGCCATTTTGCTCAAGGCTGGTACTCTACAACTTGAGCCACATCTTTACTTCTGGCTCTTTGAGTGGTTAATTGAAGATGAGAGTTTCGTGGACTTTTTTGGCCAGGCTGGCTTTGAACCTCCATCTTCAGATCTCAGACTCCTGAATAGCTAGGATTACAGGCTTGAGCCCACCTTACTTAAGGGCTTTTTGAGACAAAAATCTCCCTATAAAACCTATGCTAGTCTTAGTGCTGAGTTTAGAGCTATGTGCCACCATGCCTAGCTTCTGCAATTTTTTTTTTTGGTCGGTCGTGGGGCTTGAACTCTGAGCCTAAGCACTGACCCTCAGCTCTTCAGCTCAAGGCTAGCGCTCTACCACTTGAGCCACATCGCCACTTCTGGTTTTCTGGTGGTTTAAGAGTTTCACGGACTTTCCTGCCTGGGCTGGCTTTGAACTGCGATTCTCAGATCTCAGCCTCCTGAGTAGCTAGGATTATAGGCGTGAGCCACCAGCGCCCGGCACTTCTGCAATTTTTGTATCTAGCTTTGTCCCTCAACTCCTAGAATTCTCCTTTTTTTTTTCTTTTTTATGTGCTACTACTGGGGCTTCAACTCAAGGCCTGGGCACTCTCTGTTAGCTTTTTCACTCAAAGCTGGCTCTGTACCACTTGCAGAATTTTGTTAGTTAATTAAAGGTAAGAGTCTCATGGAGGTTTGAGAATGTGGCTGAGTGGTAGAGTGCTTGCCTAGCATGCTGAAGCCCTGGGTTTGATTCCTCAGTACCACATAAACAGAAAAGGCTGGAAGTGGCTCTGTGACTCAAGTGGTAGAGTGCTAGCCTTGAGCAAAAGAAGCTCAGGAACAGTGTCCAGGCCCTGAGTTCAACCCTCAGGACTGGGCAAAAAAAGTTTCATGGACTTTTTCTGCCCTGGCTGGCTTTTAACCTCAGTCCTCAGATCTCAGATCTCAGCTTGCTGTTTAGCTAGGATTACAGGTGTGAGCCACCAGCACCAGACAGAATCCTCCTTTCTGGGGTTGGGAATATGGCTTAGTGTAGAATGCTTGCCTAGCATGCATGACGCCCTGGGTTTGATTCCTCAGTACCACATAAATAGAAAAAGCCAGAAGTGGTGCTGTGGCTCAATTAGTAGAGCGCTAGCCCTGAGCACAGAGAGGCTCAGGGACAGA